CGGCAGATTTACCCTATCAGAATTTCTTCTTTCCTACAAAAAAAAAAAACAAATAGAAGATGAAAAAAACAAAAGGTTTAACCAGATATGTCATTTGAATAGGTCTATGCTAAATCTTTATTTTATTTTATTAAGTAATATTAATTTCATTACAATTATTTAGTTTTGAATTAGAGATTAAATAAAAATAATTTTGTACGAGTTTTAGGAAATTACAATCAATTATATTTTAGATAATTGTTGCAATGATCTAGGTTGTCAATAATTTTATATGAATTATAGAAAAAGAATATAACAAAATGAATCGATTAAATTAAAAGCTAAGAATATAATTGTTAACTAAATCAGAAGTAAGACAAATGAAATAAGAAAAAAAAACGAAATAGAGATGGAAATCGAGAATACTATTGAGGAAAAAAAAAAATAGAAAGGGAAAATTTGGAAGCAAGAATATATTAATAAAATTGGCTAATAATATCTCCTTACCGTGAAAATAATTATAGAAGAAGACTGAAAATTGAGGAAAGATTTGTTGAAAGGAATTTTAAAAAAATAAAACATGAGGGCAAGAAATATGAGAATTTAACAATGCCCAATGTAAATTAGAGAAATAATTTTATAGAGTTCAAACTTGAAACTGATGTCATGGGCTCACATAGGTTGACTTGGGTTTCAATGGACTTTCATTAAGGATAACGACGGAACATCAGCCTAAGCTAACCAGGTAAATGACCTTACTATCGGCATGGTTATATTTGTTGTTGACACGTGCCCCTTGGTCTGCACGTGTCATATATATTGATATGTGTGAATTATCTGTGGATCGATATGCTTCTTATTTGTTATGTATATGTTATAATATGTGAATTGTTTGATAATAATTACGGTACGATGTGTTCAATGATATGTTTGAGATAGGATACGAGAATGATGCACAAAAAAAAATGTAACGATAGGAGTAAAATACGTTCATGAAACGTTAAGGTTAGGTTACATACCGGAGTGATATGGATAAGAGAGATTGAAGGAAGAATACGGTTAGGTTACGGGTAGAAAGGGATAGGTTTGTAATAGATTGATAGAACGATAGCGTTAGGTTACGTTCTTGTGATGATGACTGAGGTACGTTCACGTAATGATATGTCTGTGATAGGCATAAGAACATTAAGGCTATGATAAGTTAAAAAACGATATGACTACGATTTACGTTATGACTTGTTTATGATATAATACATTGTGATGCAATATGTCATGGTATGATGTGTATATGATGAAATGTTATGTTAAAAGCATAAAACGTTATGTTAGGTCTCTTAAATTGTGTGTATACAGCATGATCTGAATGACATGAAATTACGATAAATGGCACGAAATATAACTCCGTTAGAATTATGTATGATTTGAGAATTAAAGAATGAGAAACGATATGATATGAATGATGAACGATATTTGAAACGATATGAAAAATGATATGATATGTACATAATGCTAGCAGGGTTGGATTAAAGAATAATGAAAATGGAAAAGTTTTGGGACCTCTTGCATTATGTGTGCTCATGCATTTGGGAGGATACCCCTAATCCCATCACGAGGGTACGGATGCGTACATCCAATGGTAGGACAACGATCGTTATGCTTTGCATAGCTCTGTCGTGACGGTTACTAGTTCTAACGAGTTTTGGCATAAGGGGCTCCTAGAGTATGCCCACAGAATAAGGAAAGTGACCCAGCGGTGTGCAAACTAGCTAGTAAGCCCATACTCGCACGTATGGGCTGTGTGTAGAGTATATGGTACACGTCCAAAATTACCCGTTAGGACAGTATCGTAGGAAAAATGAAGTGAAACGAAAGATAGGTCCCATCATTTCATTGCATGCGATTGTTGCATTTAACCCCAATAGTAGGGTCACTTACTGAGTATTTCTTTAAATACTCAAGTCATGTGCTACTACATTTTTCAGGTTAAGGCAAGACATTCCTGTACGACTGACGACAGCATCGCAACTCGAGACCATGGCACATGCATAGGGTAGTGGTATTTGTTTTTTTAGACTTAGGCTAGACTATGATGTTTTTAACTTAAACTCTTATTCATTTTATTTAGTCTTTTGTTGTGTCGTTTTACAGATGTTTTCGAAACACGTAAGTCCATGGCTGTGTTTTAAGATAAAGGTTAGGTTTTATGAAATTTTAATAAAGTCTTCCGCATTCAATGTCTATGGTACGTATATAGTAGCGACCTTAAATTAAGTAGAAAATTTCGGGTCGTTACACTGTATGTTCATAAGCATAGGGTTACTTCCTCTAAAGATGATGAGTGCACGGATGCACACCGTATGATGATGAGGGCAAATGTGCATGAGTGCAGATGCGCACCGTATGATGATGAGTGTGAATGTGCATGAGTGCGAATGCGCACAGATGAGGGTGTTCATGAGATGCATGACATGACCTCCAAACGTCACTACAGATTAGCTTGACCAGAGGGTCCAAGGGGTGTACGAGCACCCTGGGGATTCACACTAGCACGTGTGAGTCATGTGTAGGGAAGTACTACACATCCAATTTTTCCGAGACTTGAGGCCACCCTTATGATGTTTAGAGATAGGTCCCTAACTCATGATTGCATGTGTTTGCATTAGCATGACCCCTATAGTGGAGTCACTTACGGATTATTTCTTTGAAATACTTAGGCCATGTGCCATATTGTTTTTTAGGTAAAGGCAAGGCGCTCATGTACGGTTGACGGTGGTATCATAATTAGAGATTGTGGCGCGTGGATAGTTGTATTTTCCTATCTTATGTTATTATAGCCCTTAGAAAGGCATTGTTTATTTCTATTTTGTAATTTTTCGTTGTTATTGTTCTAATATTTTTGTTTAATATGTTTTAAAAATTATTTATCCATGTTTCTTAACTAAAACACTTATGTAGTATCGACTTTATTATAGTAGGAAAGTAGGTTCGTTATATTCATAGATTATTTGACCTTATAATTTTTTTTTTGAAGGAAAGGTTCATAAACAGAATTCAATTGGGTGGAGTGAAAGTAGACATCCAATTGGGATTCACTATCCTTAAACCCGTTCTAGGATGAGAACACGAACATAAGATAGAGCTAGACAATAGATTGGCCAAGAATTTAGAACTCATAAATTAGAACCTTGGACCAAAGAATAGTATTGATGACCAAGTTTAGAGTGTGGTACCAGTCATGGACATGATTTAGAGCCTACAGAAGGGGTGCTTACTCAGTATTTTATACTCACTTTAATTTTTACCTGCTTTTCTGGTAAGAACGAAATGTTAGAAGAATGCCATATAGAGACAACTTAGGTTCGAGAGCATAATTTTTCTTTTTTTTAATCTGAACTCTTAACTGTATTTTGTTTAAGTTAGAACAGCTAAGCCAGCGACGAAATGCTTCGGGGAGTTGAAAATCAGCGTAGATCCGAAGATTCCCGAATAGGTCAACCTTTCAAACTGGTGCTGAATCCATAGGCAGGCAAGAGAGAACTTGGCGAACTGAAACATCTTAGTATAAAATATTTATATATAATATTATATTATAATATATAATTATTTATTATATATAGAAACAAAATATATAATTATCTTAATTTAGTTATAAAGATTAATTCGAGAGATGGCTTAAAACCAATAGTTCATTATCTAATGGATTTTTCCGTTCTAATACTCCATCCGAGAGTTATCAGTATTTATCAAATTTGTTCCTATCTAATGGAACGCTATTGGATCAAATGACAAAGACATTGTTGAGAAAAAGATGTAAGTTCATACGTATATATTTGTGATGGTTGTTTGTGTTGTTTATTTAAATTCTTGAATATTTAATTTTAAAAGCAAAAAAAATTTAACATATTTTTACTCCTCAAGTTAGCCTAAGTCACGATTAGTGCTTCAAGTAGCTAGAAAATCAAGTCTTGACAGAAGCATTCCGTTCAAATCTTAGGAAAAATAATATCTAAAAAATTGTATATCATAACTTTGATTCTTCTTAATTGATTATGGTTAAAATTGTATATCATAACTTTGATTCTTCTTAATTGATTATGGTGTTTCAAAAGTCTAAATTAATAAGAACAATGTTATAAGCAACTCTTGTGAAGGATGCTTAATCAACAAAACTATTATTCTTTTTTATTCTAGATTCTATAATCTTAAATATCTGAATATTTTGTAATCTAAAATGAAATCTTATCGAACATCATTTAAAATCATGAACTAGTTCAAAACTACAAACAAAAATATATCGAAGATTAGAAGCTAATTTACAATACTTAAAATGAGTTTGCTCGTGAAATGTTTAGTCGCTGTGGTGTTTGAGTAGAAACTATGGTGGCATTACCTATATGGGGAGAAGGTGCAAGTGCATACCGACCATAAGAGCCTCAAGTATCTCTTCACACAAAAGGAGTTGAACATGAGGCATAAGAGGTGGTTGGAGTTAGTGAAGGATTATGACATCAAAATCTTCTACCAATCCGGAAAAACTAACATAGTGACAAACACAATGAACAGAAAAATTATCCACTCATTTGCACTAATCACAAGACAAAGGGAACTACCGGAGGAGACATAGAGGGCTAGAATTGAGGCCATGGTTAGATGCATCAGTGCATAGCTGAACATAGTTACAATCCAACCCCACTCTCTAGAAGTATATCATAAATGTTAAGAGCACAGTATGATCCAACTCACTCTCTAGAGGTACGTCATAAATGCTCATAGCACAGTTACTATCTAACCCACTCTCTAGAGGCATATCATAAACGCTCAGAAAGCATATGCGCAACTTAGAAAAGTTCGGGAACCAAAGCTATCCACAAAACTAAATTTCAACTTTAAAAAAATAATAATAATAAAGTAATATTTATTAACATATATAATGTTTACAAACCAAAAACACTATCAACTAATGCTCATTGTGGGTAGGAAGCATGGGATGTATTTGTAGCAAAGATGGGAGAGAGCCCCAACGTAGGAATGAATCATGTTGAACCCTTTCATCTCCTTTCTTCTCATCCTTCCTTTCACTCATTCATTATCCCATGACTATCACCACGCGCTCTCCATCACTCTCCTCTACTTCGAGTCCCAACGCTCCGGCCGCCTCCCCTACAACCAAAGACTCCCTTGGCGCCACCACTCTGCCCTCTCCGATGGCCTCCACCAAGGAGTACGCACACACCTTTTTCTCTTTCTTTCTTTAACTTTATCCAATAATAATCATTTGCTGTTTTGTTTTGATTTTCAGGTGGACTTAGTGGGAGGCTACTACGACGCCGGCGACAACATCAAATTCGGTTTACCAATGGCCTTCACCGTCACAATGCTGTCATGGGGTGTCATTGAATATGGAGAACAACTCGCGGCTGCAGGAGAGTACACTCACGCGCTGGAAGCTATCAAGTGGGGCACTGATTACTTCATCAAAGCCCATCCTCACCCCAACGTCTTCTGGGCACAGGTTACTTACTCAACCAAATTCAGGCGGCGCGTCACTTCCACGCGCCGCACATTGGTGATTATAACAAACCAAGTTTCAATCTTCCCAGGTGGGAGATGGGGTAACGGATCACTACTGCTGGCAGCGGCCGGAGGATATGACAACGTCACGGCAAGCCTACAAGATCGACGAAAACAACCCGGGTTCCGATGTGGCTGGAGAGACTGCGGCGGCTATGGCGGCAGCTGCAATTGTGTTCAGTAGAACAAACCCACACTACTCCCATGTACTGCTGCACCATGCACAAGAGGCAAGTAGAACAACTCGAAAGAAAATAACATGAAATTAATAAACAAAATAAATGGAACTGTTGAACAAAAAGAATGAACTAAAACTTTACTTCATAATTTTTAATTTCATAATAAATTAAATAAAAGTAGCAGTTAGAAAACTTTATTTATTATTTTATTATTTTTTCAAGACACTGTGTACAACTTACTTCAAGCTTCATGCTTATATTTTTTGGTCTGAAAGTATTCATAGTAATTAAAATATCTCAATTTTTTTTTTAAAATATTTTTATTCTTATAAAATATTTAAATCATTTTACAATATAAATTGGCTCCTATAACAATTGGGTTTGACCAAGTTGAACTAGTGGTGATATTTTAACAAATATTGTAGCACAGTTGTTCGAGTTTGGTGATAAGCACAGAGGGAAATACGATGAGAGTATTGAAGAGGCAAAAGGGTATTACCCGTCAGTGAGCGGGTACAAGGACGAGCTGCTGTGGGCAGCAATGTGGCTGTACAAGAGCAGTGGAAGGGAAGAGTACCTGAAATATGTGCTGGAAAATGGGAAGAATTTTGGTGGGATTACTTGGGGCATCAATGAGTTTAGTTGGGATGTTAAGTATGCTGGCCTCCAAATCCTTGTGTCCATGGTAATTTCTCTCTAGAACTTGATTTTGTTGGTGTAAAAAGTAATAAAAATGGTAACTTTTTCCTTTAATTTTAGTTGTCAGTGGAAGAACAATCGAAGGAACATAAGTCCATAATGGAAGCCTACCGAGCAAAGGCGGAGTATTACCTTTGTGGCTGTCTCAACAAGAGCAACTCGACTAACCTGAAACGCACCCCAGAAGGCTTACTCTATACTCGTAAGTGGAACAACCTCCAATTCGTCTCCACCGCAGCGTTTCTTCTCACTGTCTACTCCGACCATCTCCAAGCCTCAAATCAACGCCTCACATGTCATCAACACGAAGTGGGCCCCCAAGAGATGTTGACTTTTGCGAAATCCCAAGTTGACTACATCTTGGGGGACAATCCAATGGCCATGAGCTACTTGGTCGGGTTTGGTCCACGGTATCCTCAAAGGGTGCACCACAGAGGAGCGTCGATTGAATCGATCAAAACGAACGGGGGATTCATCGGGTGCACGCAGGGGTATGATAATTGGTATGCTCGCCTTGATCCGAACCCTAATGTGTTGATGGGTGCTGTGGTGGGTGGGCCCAATGAGAAAGATGAGTTCCATGATGAACGATCTAATTATATGCAAACTGAAGCTTGTACTTACAATACGGCGCCGTTGGTTGGTGTATTTGCAAAATTGAGCCAAAGTTGAGCCAAAGTTAGAATCGAAAGGCATACCTTATTGTGTGTAAAAATTTGATTCTGTTTTATTTTGAATTCAATGCATTTATTGAGTTCATCGTTTTAAATCAAGGTAGTTAATATTTTTTAAGATATAATGTTTGTAATTTAATACTTAAATCTTACTTGAATTTCCTTGGTTGAATGAGGGAGGTAATAGACGGAAGATAGAATTTTCTAATTCATGGTCTTTAACGAAAAAGAGTGAAATCAGTCAAAGGTTCAGTATGTCAGTTCGTAAACTCTTTCGTTTACCGTTCAAGAATCAATAGGTTCAGTAGCTCAGGGAAGGATCAAAGTCTTTGTTTCCTGTTCAAGAAGGCTTGTTCAGTAGTTCTGTCTCATTAATCTTTCGTCTTTCCTTCCAATTCAGGATAGATTACGGAGTTCCGTTCGTTAGAGAGAAAACAAACGCCAATAGCCTCCTTCCTTCTTAAGGAACCAATAGGGAGAGGGAAGAGGTTCATATGCCTCGTTCAAGAGCTACTTCACCTATTTACCTCGTTTCATCAGGCCAGGGAATATTTATCGGTTCAGTTTCATGAGTTTAGTTCGTTCAGTTTCATCTTGTCTTGCTTTTCCTATTTATTTATTTATTATTCTTTCACTGTAAACTCGTGTCGAAGAACACCTAATTTTGTAGTTTACCAAATAAACCGAATCAATCATCCAATTTGACATAATTCATTCTCAAATCATCGAAAAAGACAGCTACATAAAAAGCATTTGTTATTTAACAAAAGGAGACAGAAGTGGAGGGTAAAAAGTTGATATGTCATTTGACACATGAATGAAATACCACACACGGGTATGTATGTCTCATAGGAAATTCATATTATGAAAAATATGGAAGTATGGATTACTTCACCAATATGTTAAATATGGACGTGTACACCACGATATAACATAGACTCCTTTCTTTTTGTGATTTACGGTATTGTGAGTGTGTGTTAGTTCATAATCAGGCTTAGGGGTATGTATACGAGACTATCAAGTGGGTTTATGGTAGATATGAAAATCATGTGTAGAAAAGTACTATATATGCAACCCTCTCTATAAAATAAAATAGAGTCCAAGGAAAATAGGTCCAACTATGAATCATGTTGAATGTGATTGTATTTCTCAACCTCAATGATGGCTCACTTCCTAGAATATTTTTAAATAATCATCTTAAAGTGATAAAAGACCTATATACAACTGACGGTGCCCGTTGAGGAGATAATGAAACCAAGTTTTGTTAGTTTTCCATTTAGGTCATAGTCTCTAAGTTAGGATAGATGGATAACATATTTGTTATTTGTTATTTCACGAGTTTATTGGACTTAATAAGAATCTTGGATGTATTTTGTTCGTGAATATTTAATATATTTTATATAAGATTGTACTATATGACTATGTATCATGGATACATCAAAGTTTTTTAATTTTTTTTTTTTTTAACTACCGTTTGGTTGGGTTGGGTTACCAATTCAACTAACCCGAACTTTTGGGTTAGTGATATGAACCACGACCAAGGAATTTTCATACCTCAAGGTCCAATTACAAGGACGAGAGCGAAGAAGCTACAACAAATCTTATACAAATATATTCAAGCTATGGTAAGCTCCTCAAAGGAAATTCTAGAAGACGCGGGAGACCTCCCTTATATGTTGTGCAAAGTTGAGCTTCAAGAAAGAGATGAATTAAATGCACTTTAAGTTGCATTTAATGAGCTCCGCTGAATTTATGAAACTAGTACAAGGATGAGTCAATAAGTACATTTTATTAATTGCATTATTTAATTATAGTTTAACTATTTATTTGTCATATATTTAAGCTAGTTTTAAATATAGGAGTTTATGAGTATTTTTCATTTACTAGCCCATTTAATTTGGGAGTTATATATCACATAGGTTAAGGTTGTAAGGGTAGTATAAAACCTTCCTTTCTTTGATTAGACATCAGATTATGGAATTAAGAATAGAATTTCTATTTTAGCGAGCTAAACTTTCTTTGCAAATTCTTGTGTTTAGAACTTGCATATAGAGTCATTCAAGTGGTATTGATCAAACCTCTTGTGGAGTGATTCGAATCATGAGTTTAGAAACGAGTTTTCTTTACTCTTGATCTTGATCATCAAGGTAATCCGTTCCATATTTTTCCTTGGGTTGATTTTCCATATCAGTTAGTCGAAAAAAATTCTTAAACCAATCCAATCCAACTCATATACACCATTAATATAAGGTATCCAGCAAAATTGACAAGCATATTTGATATATCATACAAAATTTAATTTAATTTAAATTGAATTACAATAATAGACATACATACGTCTTCAAACACATCAAACTTTCCAATCAATTTTATGAATTTAAAATACCCAAATTAATCACTTTATTTTCAAATAAAAATTAAAGTTAACTAAAAATATCCTAGAATTAATATTCTAATAAGTTAATCTAAAATTTATAATCTAGTCACGTGTAATTGAAGGGTTATGAGTTTAAAGTCTTATTTTATATCTTAGAGGTAATGGATGAAAATTAATCAATTAAATTTATATCATTTTTTTAATATTTAAATTATATTATAATATATTGAATATATAAAATAGGAAAATATATATATATATATATATATTTAATATATTAAATAAAAAATATATTGAAATCCTAGGCATGGACGTTGGTCGACGGAATAAGGAAAGGACAAAACTACCCTTCTCGAGTCAAATCGAAGAAGTGGCAACTGATTTTGGGCTGACGTTTACAATTCGCTTCCTTCCTGCTTCGATGTTGTTAGGGTTCTAAGCATCCTTTCATCCTACTCCCTTTGTGAACTGAGCTTTACCAGCATGGCCTCCACTACCACAGAATCTTCTCGTATCCTTCACGAAATCGAGACCTTGAAATCCGCTAGGTCCGACTTAGACCGTCGTATTTCATCCCTCGAGTCCCAGCTCCGGGACCTGAATCATCACCAGAACAATGGCGTCTCTCATGCCCCTTCCGCTTCAGTATCCACTCTCGACTCCACTTTTCCTCATGGATTGTCCCCCGACATGATTTACAGATACAGTCGCCACCTCCTCCTTCCTTCCTTCGGAGTCCAAGGTCTGATTTCTCTACTCATTCCGACTCAAATTGACTAAACGATTTTAAATTGACGCATTCATTAACTTAACTGCGTTTGTTTTAGCGCAATCGCGGCTTTTGAAGTCTTCGATTTTAGTAGTTGGAGCAGGAGGGTTGGGCTCACCAGCTTTGATGTATCTTGCAGCTTGTGGGGCTGGTAAGATGTTTGTACCATTTAAAAGTTTGATTAGAACTGTATATTTTATTGTTTTGAATTGAGGAATTGCTTTGTGTTGCATATGTTTGGAATTATGATTCTAGGTCGTCTGGGAATTGTTGATCATGATGTAGTTGAGCTAAATAACATGCATCGGCAGGTAACCTTTTGTCTGTTTGTTTTCGTAGTCTTTAATACCCACTTGCTTTATATTTCAAGTACTTTTAGCCTTTTTGTTTTATAAACTATAAGAACTCTGTTTCATTAATATGATTCTGTTACTAGATTTTAAATCTACTGACTACTTAAATACATTTTATATATCAGATCATCCATACTGAGGCATATATTGGACGGTCGAAAGTAGAATCTGCTGCTGCGACGTGTCACTCGTATGTTTTACCACTTTTTTTCTGCCTTTAGAAGTTTGCAGGAGTTTTATATCATAGGATCAACTCATGGTTTGGTAGTACTAATGTGCATTCATCATAGGATCAACTCTACTGTCCAGATTGTTGAACACAAAGAAGCTCTTCGTACATCAAACGCTTTAGAAATTTTTAGCAAGTATCCTTATTGCAGTGATCTTAGAGTTTGATATTTCTACTCTTACCCTGACTTAAATTATCTGCTTATGAGAGTCCTGTGTTTTACTGTTTGCTGTTTTGAACATTTCGATTTTCTTAACTGCAAAAACTTAGATATGATATCATAGTAGATGCAACAGATAATGCCCCTAGCCGATACATGATTAGTGATTGTTGTGTGGTGCTGGGAAAGGTAAATGATAAACTCTATTCTTCTTAGAAAGTAATTTAAGTCAGGAAATTATGGATGTTTCATTGAATTTGCTAATTATAAGTTCTATTAGTTTAACTAATGGCTGCTATGACATAACTGAACAGCTTAGTTTGTATATTTCCTTGACAAATACTAATCATGTTATGATTTTCTTACAGCCTCTTGTGTCTGGTGCAGCTGTAGGTTTGGAGGGGCAGGTACTCTAAGCAGTTGAATTCAGTTCGTTATTCTAGAATCGCATAAATTCATTGTTTAGACAGATCATAATTTAGCTTATCTTTTTATCTCTGATACAAAATTAATTCATTAATCAATCTTATTTTCGATCCTTTTGGTGTAGCTGACAGTTTACAATTACAATGGAGGTCCATGCTACCGATGCCTATTTCCAACTCCCCCGCCAACAACAGCGTGCCAAAGGTGTTCTGATAGTGGTGTTCTTGGAGTAGGTAGGTTGATGAATTGTTTCATTTTCCATTAGGTCAGTAACCCTTTCACTCAAGCTCTTGATGATTTGTCTGCTCCCCAAATTTTATTTTTCTCTTGAATATAGTATGTACTGCAGAACCCGGAAATGGAATGTAGTGCAACATAACGGTGCTCTAGTTCATGTGTATTTGATTTTCACGTTCAAGCTTCCCTCGTTAATCATATTTTTGTGCTGTTTATTATCCAGTTCCTGGGATCATTGGCTGTCTTCAAGCCTTGGAGGCTATAAAAATTGCAAGTGCAGTTGGTGAGCCACTTTCTGGACGGATGCTTCTGTTTGATGCCTTAGCAGCAAGGATCCGAACTGTATGTTTCACATCTATATATAATTTTCTTCAACTGATTAATTTTAATGCTATTAATTCTTAGTAACATAGCTATCTTTTTACCCATCACCATTATGCCCTGTTG